GGTGTCTTATTTTTCACTCAATTGATGGAGGTGCCCTCCGCACACCTTTCAGCAGTCCCGGCCAACAATCAAATAAATGGTGCTCGAAGTAACTTCACGGATGGCACCGTGCAAAACACAAGATTGAAGAAAATAGGTCACCAGCACTCCATAAGTTAAAATGAATGAGTCCTTTTAATGGACAATGATGTCACAGAAATCCAACATGAGCCGACGTTTCTGTGACATCATTGGATTTCTGTGACATCATTGTCCATTAAAAGGACTCATTCATTTTAACTTATGGAGTGCTGGTGACCTATTTTCTTCAATCTTATTTTTCACTCAATCTAAACACCTATTACCTCTAACTGCAGGCTTATGGGGTGATCCTCGGTCACAAGAAGGCTGCCTGTTACGATATCTAAAGATATTATTTGGATTTATTACATTTATTATTTGTTTGATCAGAACATGGATTATCCTTTATTGATCATACAAGTGTTTGTGCCTACATTTGTAGTGTGAAAATGTGCCCCTGTACATATGTAACCACAAACGTATAGAAAGAAAGTTTTTTGACACCTTAATACACACGGTCAGGATTATTTATATCAAACTGATCTCTTTTATAAGTTTGTCTTTAAAAAAAACATTTTAAGCACCATTTTGATTACAATTCAATCAACATAGATGGATCCCTTACCGAGTTGCATCAGAACGAAAACAGATGCCACATATGTGACGTTTGTATCCCTTCCGATCCCCCTCCATCTTGTGATGGATGAAAATGGTTCCTGTAATCCCTATGGATAGGCAGATGTAGGCGGACGTTCATGTGTTGATATCTGTTTACGTCCATCCCTTTCCACTTGGGTCTGCAAAATCGGACCTGGAATCAAACTTATTGCATTCAGTCAGACAAAACTGAATGAACCGATCCCATAGGAAGCCGTCCATTTGTGATTTGTCTAAGCACAGGTCAAAAACAGACTGACAGGATAAAGATACAGAACGCCCCTGTGAAAGGGGGCTCAACTCATTAGGATCTGTGATATAACCAAGTACTAGCTGTTTTTTCTATTTCTAGTAGGTATGGAAACCCTAACAGTGATGATCTCTTATTTCCTGCCTTTCGGTTTCTTAACTATACCACTGAAAGTATTTTGTCATATCTGTTTTATAAGTGCAAAAAATACCTGTTGATCCCACCAGAAATCTTGTGAGCTGACAACTTCCCGTGCTCGCTGCTTTTGCCACACTCTTTATCAGTTATGTTGTTGTCAGCATTTTCTGTGAACTTCAGAACACATTCCCCTATGTTATGGAAATGAGGAAGGAAGAGGGTATCCAGCAGTCCTAATACTTTCTGCCCTAGGGTGACAATGCTGCTACACCGTACAGTATGGTAAGTGAGTGTTGTCACCCAAGGACAAGTGTGTTATTGGCAAGAACACCAGCTAACATAAAAAGGAAAACAAAATCCTGGAAAAAAACAAATTCAGCCACCACACCAAAGGGACGTGCAAGCTGCAATATATTACATATTGGTTCTTGGTTTTAGGATCACTTTTAGGCTAGGTTCACACATAGGCGATTGAGCTGCTGAGCTGTTTTCACGTGGTTGTGGTGTTTGCGTGACTGTTCATTGAAAACTGCACAGTTTTCAATGCATAGAGATGTCTATGGGACCCAAACCGCATGACAACCGGCCGAAAATAGCTCCCGCACCTCTTTGCGCGACAGGCGATTTCGTCCGCGCGACAAACCGCGAAGGAGTGAACAGCCTCCATTGACTTCAATGTGAATCTGTGTTTTGCGCGATAAATCGCCTAGGCGTGAACCTACCCTTAGAATGTAAGCTAGTATGCTGATAATAATAAGTAATGAGCTATGACCCTTGGCACCCAATCAAGGCTTATTATTATTCTGCAATGAATGGGTAGAGTAAGGAAGCTGACTGGTTGCAAGGGGTTACTCACCCTGTATTAAAATAAAAGCTTCTAGTGTTCATACATCAGCAGTAAGCATGTGGAACGGCTGCCAGGTGCAACATGTACTTTATCATGCCAGCACGTTGGCGCTGCCTATGAAATATGAGACAGCAGAATTGTTTACAATCCATCACAGATGATAGATGCCGCTCTGCCATCTTCCTCTCAGCTGGTATTTTCGCCTAATTTTAAATGCCAGGCAGCATGGGTTAATGCGTGTGTTAGCAAACAATTTGGGAAACGAGGCCCGGCAATCTGCAGAGAGTTTACAGTAATTTGAGGCAATTTAGCAATCTGCTCTACGCCGAGCTGACGGCCGTTATCCAAGGGAAGACGAGCAAAAAGGATGTAATTGGATGAAGAAATGGCTTCATTTGTGGCGTTTTCAAGGAGACGAAGTGCCGTTTGGCCTGCGTTAGCTGCTATTGTTCCCTTTTTATTACGGCACTAAGAGGCTCCTCGTTATTTAATCGCTCTGTTAAATGCCCGGATGATACATAAACTAGATTTAAGTCTGGCGATAGTGTACTTCTGGACTTGCGTTAAGTTTATTGCCATGTATGATTGCCTTCTTCAATCTGTGTGTTAAACCTGAGTTTTTTTTTTTTTGTTTTGTTTTTTACCAAGAGAGAACAAAGGAAAAGCAGCTAAATGTGTACTTTTGCAGTCAAATTTAAGAAAACCCCTTCTATACGTGTTCCCATTCACACAGCATATCGAAAAATAATTTAAAAAAATATTTCTATATGGTGTGTTCTGTTGTTCACATAGTAGAACTGAGCAGGGCTGATACATATACTTTAAAGTTTATCTAAATCCAAAACTTTTTTGGGGGGAAAGTAAAGTAGGGTTTAAAAAAAATTAGTCTGTTAGGTGAAAATCTCCCTTCACTTCCCATCCTGTAGACTCAACAGGAAGTGAGAGGATACCTCTCCAGTGTCATTTGACATGGGAACAAGTGTCTCCATAGAAGCCATAGTTTTTGGCCACATTGGGTAACAGATGCATGTCAGCAAACACACCCAGCTGATTGATATCATGGGCAAGTTCAAAGATCAAAAGGCAGATGTCCAAATTACCTGGCTGCTCCTCCATAGGTAAAAGTATATACACTAGGCCGAATCACAAGTGTATAGGACAGTCTGCTAAAAGACAAGGAAAGAGTTGTCGGATCATACCTCTTCATTCAACTGTGGCCAGGTCATAGTTTGGCAAATCACACTTGAGTGGCCCGTGGCTCTACTGAGGGTCAGGAACTCAATATCCCAGCAGCCCATGGCCGCCATTCCTGGCTGCATTGTGCTGCGGCGCACTATACCGAAAATAGCATCCATTTAAAATAAAGATTGCGAGTGTATTTCTGTCACAATTTTCTCACAGGGATAATAACATAAGTGACGGCCAACACCTGCACAATTCTGTGAAGACATTTCAGGATTAAGGTGTAAATTGTACAAGAACACTTCTCCACCCCAGACAATTTGTACCTGTCACAGACAACCAACTAACCCCCCACCCCACACAAGAGACAACCTTGTCATGGGAACAAGTATGGAAAATGCACCAAATTATCTGCTGTTCTGTTAATCTCAAATCCTCATGGATGGCAGTCATCCATATAATAGATATGGCCATCTTTATTAAATATAATATGGGATTATGCTTTTTAATTGTGGCCTGCATTTTCATATCCTTTGCATCTGGCTTCGGGGAGGGTCAAGGCAGCCATTTTTTTTTTGTTCAACCAAAGGACAGGCTATGAATTCCCTAGGGGCTACTCATGTCTCAGTAATGTCTTTTGTTTTTATGCTGCACGGGATAGAATTGTTCTTTCATTTTACAGTCCACAATTGTTTAAGATAAAATGGAGAATAATTAACACCTCTATCAACCTTTTATTGCTGTCTGTGTGGGGATATGTCCACTCACTTCCTGTCTACATGTCAGAACAGGAAGTGAGAACACAACAATTAAAACCTTTCAGAGGTTCTAAACCTTTAACAAGAGCATCATAAAAATTTTTGCTAGAGGGCTTCAAGTCTCAAAAGAGATGCTTTCAGTACGGATTCCATTTTGTACCACATGTTTCTGCTCTGTTTGCATTAATCGGGAATCTTAGCCAGAATCCTAAGGCCTCTTTCACACAGCAGCTTATATGGAAAGCTCAGCAGGTCCTGACCTCCGCCAAACACCCTCCAAACAGGGGTTTAGATACCATAAACTAAGCAAAAAGGCTCAGTACACACAAGTCTTCCTTTCTCTGTGCCATAGAATGTTCAGGCTGCTTCCAACCCAACAGAATAGCTGTGAATCCAGCCTGAGCCATGTGAGCCTGGCCTAATAGTACAGCTGCGTCCCAATGGCTGTCCCATCCCAATGACCTCCATACCACGCCAGTCCTTTCTCTGAACCTCACATAACTCTTTACTTATTTAATGAAGAGAGGAAAAAGAACCACACTTCCACCCCGCCATACAGCAGTTAATTAGCTAAATGGGTCAATCCATCTTGAAGCTGTGCAAATAAGTCAGGCAGACATTAGCTCAAAGCTTCTAACTAGGTGTCATTTGTCAAAAAGATGGGTCTTGCCTGCAGCTTTAACCACTTAAATGCTAAAATCTTACTGCACAGCTGCAGGTCGCCTACTAAAAATGTGAAGTTCTGCTTTCAGTACAAATTATCAATTTTTTCCCCCGTAAAAACCGCATACTTTAATTTAGGACAACAAAAACTCTGTATTTACATATGCAAATGATCAGCTAACACAACCAACAGACTATTTTCTCTGTTACTTAGGGTTCTTCTGACTGATTATTCAATCCACTAAAATGTCTTCAATGCATTCAAAGGACAATTGGGCCTTGACCTCATGTATATGAGGTGTAAATGGATCACATTATGGATGAATGTCTACCTTCTGTTTGTGTAGGTTCATTTCAAACTTAGGCTGCCCTACTTATAATCATTGTGGTAATTTTTCAGAGGTTTGATGGTAAAATTAATTACCTTTTCGTTTCTCTCTGACAGGGACTTGATGCCACGGACTCTCGATGGCCAGATTACCATGGAGAAAACGCCCAGTTATTTTGTGACCAAGGAGGCCCCGGCTCGTATTTCGGCCATGTCGAAGGACGCCAAGCTTATTGTGGTGGTGAGGGACCCTGTGACTCGAGTCATATCGGATTACACCCAGACGTTGTCCAAGAGGCCCGACATCCCTACTTTCGAGAGCCTGACGTTTAAAAATAGGACTACGGGTCTTATCGATATTTCATGGAGTGCCATCCAGATTGGCATCTATGCCAAGCACTTGGAGAACTGGCTCCAGTATTTTCCTATGAGCCAGATCCTGTTTGTGAGCGGGGAGAGACTGATCACCGATCCCGCAGGAGAACTGGGGCGCGTTCAGGATTTTCTGGGGCTCAAAAGGATCATTACAGACAAACATTTTTATTTCAATAAGACTAAAGGTTTTCCTTGTTTGAAGAAGGCAGAAGGGAGCAGCAAACCCCACTGTTTGGGTAAAACCAAGGGCAGAACTCATCCCAACATTGCCCCTGAAGTGGTCCAGAGACTACGGGAATTCTACAGGCCATTCAATATGAAGTTCTACCAAATGACTGGGCACAACTTTGGCTGGGACTGAAGGTTCATCAGAGGTCCTAGCTTTGTGCGAAGTTAAACACATGTTTATATGTGTGCCTGTATAAAATGTACAGAGATCTATTTTATTATAATTTATTTGTAATTCCTAAGCAATTAATTCACTAAGCTGCCTAACCACGTGGTTTCTTGTTTGCCCATAGTGTTAACATTCCATCATGCATAACCCTTGCATCTATGGAGATCGGTATTAAAGGGTTATCCATCCCCATTTTACATATCTGTTAATGGTGCTCTTGCTGCGGTCATGTTTTGAGGGGGGAAAAAAAATTAAAAGCACAATAATATATCTTGGTATTTTATGTTTACGGGTATTGAAATCTCTCTCACACGCTTGTTGGTTTTATAGCCTTCAGCTCAAAGTCCTATGTTCAATCTCTTTCAAGCGTGTATGGAGAAAAGATCAGATGTTTGGTGGTGGAAGATAACTTGAAATCTTTTATACTATGGTGCCACAATCCAAGATAATCACATGACGAATAGTAAAAATTACTTTTTTTTCCAGAAGGCTAGTGTATACGGCTACAAAACAAAATGGAGGTTGTCTGGTTTTTTAAGCTGACTTGTGGTGGGCCAGTCTTATTTATGCTGCCTTGAAATAGGGAGAATAACATGGGTCAACTTATACCAGGTAGGATGAAGAACTTTGGTAACACTAGCAATTGCAGCCAGTATTTGGGAATACACTTTAACGCACCACAAAGTCTTTTTGCAAGAATTTTATTTTTTTTGCACGGTCAATCATTTGTGGTCCATTTGGTGGCAATCAATAATGACCCAAGTCTTCCAGCTTTACAAAACTTCTATGCATCAGAAAAGAAACTTGTTTTTCTTTACATTTTCTATACTATTTGATCAACTTCCTCACCCTGTGATCGGTATGGCAGATTGCATTAGGGGGGGAAAAAAATGACAATACATCTTTCCTAATTACAATCAATTGCGTAACAGCCAATTGCACTATTGCTGTCACTGGATGAAAATTCTCATAAAATGGCAATTCGTAGTTTACGTAGTTTCTAACTTTTCCCTAATTGCAATTCCAGCCAATTTTTGAAAATTTTGTTGGATAGAGTGGAGGAATGGTTAAAACCTCTGCCAGGTTTTATTAATTTCTAGGTACCCATTGGGGATATTTCTTGTCCCAGAAACTACCATCTCTGAGACAAGAACTGGACAAAATCTCTCCTGTAAGAGCTGTTCTTGCACACAACCCCATTTTACTGGTTATATGTGCTTTTATTGCTGTGCCATGTCCACTCACTTCCTGTTTTGGTGAAAAAGGCCAAGAACGAGGTAGGAATTAAGGAAACACAGACATTTCTAGACTAAACAAACTTATTCATACATACATTCGCCACAAAGTGATATCGATTTCCGAATATTTCTGTTTGTTAAACTATATTTGATAATATCCGACATTTACAGAATCTTAGAGTTAGGCCTATTATACTCATCTTTCCAATACCCTAAGAATATTTACAGCATCACAGCAAAATTGACGTTCAAGGCATTTTATCATTTTCGTATTACATTTTTAGCATTATAGGATGAGCTAAAAGTAAGCCATGACATCTCCTCGCTCTCCACTTGATGGCCATTTTGTTGGGTGTTAAGCCCGAGATTGTAAGAGTTACTGCACATCCTTTTCGCAAGCTGCTTTCCCCACTGAAATCTAGCACACGTCCTATCCTGGGGCTGGTCAGCTGTCCCGTGTACTAAGTGTAAAGGGTACAACGTGTTTTGTTTCAACGGCTGTAAGTTGTAATTTTTACACTGCTGCTAAAAAAATAAAAGAAGTGGCTATGCAGATATCTAGAAGTATTTAAATTAACAAAATGAAAAATGTTATTTTGCCCTTTAGAATGCAGCCACGACACCAATCCAATACCGAGACCTACTTAGCAGGACTCCCTAATCTATCGTATGCCTTGGTTGCCATGGAGACCGGGCCTAGTTGCTGGTTTTGTGCTGAAAGCACTGCCAGATCTGCATCCTACAAAGAGGGTTCCGTGGTTAGATTTCGCACATTTGACATAGTGGTTGAGTTTTATTCAGCCATATGCATTTTATTTGTTTTGTTGTTTTTGTTTTTTTTCCCTTTTGTAACCTGTTACTTTAGAAATAGCAAATTTATATAAATATATAAGTAAATATATATATATATGGAAAAAGAATATGAAACACGTTGCAAAATAGAAAAAAAATGTACATTGTAAAATCAAGTATTTTGTGGTATGTACCATACAAAATTAATTTTACACAGGAAAAATGTTTATAAAAGAAGATTGTGTTCTGAAAATTCATACTATGTCTTTGTATGAGCAAATAAAACTATATTTTGCCAAGATAAAAAGGGCGTTAAGACTATTTTGTCGCAATAACTGTTTTGAAAGTTTTTACCCTATAAACCTGAACTTCAAATGGTCAATGCATGGCAAACTGATGTTTTAACTGTAGGAAAACAATGCTGACTTCATATTTCCCTTGAGATATCAAGTGGTAAGACGCCATGGAATCTCGGTCATCTTACTACACAATCCACAATGCAAAATAAAAATGCATCCAAAAGATTAATTGCCATAGCAGGTGGGAGGAGCTGGGAATTCAAATGCAAAAATAAACTACAGTTTTACCTCGGTTCACGAACTTAATTCGTTCCGCCATTCTGGTCGTGAACCGAATCAAACTGATCAGACCGCGATCTCGACTAGAGGAAGCCACGACCATGTGTCAGAGCGGGGAAGATGGCTGCGGTCGTGTTCGTCATCCGATGCGAAGTTCGCGGACGGAAGCAAAATTTTGCCGAACTTCCTGTTCGCAAACTGAATTGTTCGCAAACAGTTTCTGTTCGCGAACAGAAGTGAACCGAGGTACCACTGCATATGATCAAAAATGTCTGGACACCATTGCATTCCGAAAACTATGACCATTAAAATGGAGTCATCATCCCACTTTTGTGGCTTAAACAGCCTTCACTCTTCTACGAAGGCTTCCCTTAAGATTTTGGAAGGGGTCTGTAGGAATTAGAACATTTGTGGGGTCAGGTACTGAAATTGGACAAGAAGGCCTAGCTCGCAATCTGCATTTCAACTCATCTTAAAAGTGTTTTAACGAAGCTTGAGGTCAGGTCAGGTCAGGGCAGGCCATGCGAGTGGCTCCACGCCAAACTGGTCAAACCATATCTTGACACAAGCCCTAAATCTAGAGGTCTTCTGGCTGGTTATGTAACATGATGGATCCTCCTCCTTCTTGAGCAGGATCAGCAGTGGCCATTCTGTGCAGCAATAGTGTAAACCCAGCTGATCCCAGCAAGAGAGGAGCTGATCCCACCGCTCCACTCTGATTGTTTCAAGCAAGCGCCCACCCAGCCACAGGTGAGTGTATTACATTTATACAAACCTTGTTCCACCAAATTTTATTGCGCTAGGTAGTGCCGCTTCCGTTTCCAATTTTGTTTCTCCCAGGCTGGGGTCATGACTACCCATAGGGGTGTGTCCATGACTCACAGGCTGTCATGGTAAAATTACTCTGAATTTAAAAAGAAAGAGCGATTCCTAGTGGAGGCGTTGACTTTCTGTGGCAAACAGTGCTGTATTGAAGGTGAGTATTGCAATGAAAGCTTTTTTTAAAATGTATGGTCAATTTTTTTTAAGCAAGTATTGATTGCTGTCTGTGTCCTTATCGAATAGAAAACTCAAACATTTTGAAATGTCAGAGCAAGAGGTGAGGGAAAAATCCTGCAATAGGAACACATGTTCCTGCAAAAATTCTCTAAGATGGGAATTCCGTTCACTTGGGAGAGATTTCCTCTCATTTCCTGTTGGATCACCAGAACAGGGAGTAAAAGCAACACAGTCAGCAACAAAAAAAAAATTGATAGGCTTTTAACACTTCTCCATCTAAAACTAAAAAAAAAAAGGTTTGGCTATACATCAACTTTATCTAGGTCTGGGCAATGTATATTTTTAAAAACTTGAATTGGGCTTAAAATGTCCCAAATTAAAGCAAAACACCTGTCTGCTCTGGGTCTGCAGTACACGAGTGAACCTTATCAGAAGTAGGGTCATTTCTTTATCTGTATTCTCTGTAAATAAGGTCCCATGCAAACCAGCTTCTTCCTGAAAAGATAGTTAAAGGAGAACTATGAGGTGAGTGCTTTTCACTCACCTCCTAGTTCTAGCCGACCTGTGACAATGAGACGGTCACAGGTCGGCTCAGTAGATCTGGAAGTGAGAAAACACATACCGGCGTTCGCTCACCTCTCGATCCTGTCACAGCTCTCTGCCATGACAGGGGAGGGGCTTGATTCCCCCCTCCCCGCTCTGATCCGCCAGCGCTGACTGGCGGAACGGACGCGGGAGGGGGGGTACAGCTGGCTCTGCCTTTAGATAGGCAGAGCCAGCTGTCAGACACGCAGCTGGGCGGATCCCGGCACAATTGTCGGGATCCGCTTCAGCTGCGGCGTCTCAGTATACCGCGAGCAGCTGCTCGCGGTATACTGCAGCGTCTCAGTATACTGAGCCCAGGGTGACGGGAGGATGCTAGTTTGTGTCCCCAAGGAGAACTATGGGGAAAAGACTTAACCCCATAGTTCTCCTTTAAGGATGTAGTCATATAATGTATGCTAAATGCACTAATATGCTTTCTAGCTGAGGAACTAGTCCCGAAGGTGCCCGCATGATTTAATCATTACTATATACAGCAAGTATGCATGTGACCTAGTTACAGCACTGCAAACTCCATCTTATGTTTTAATAACACCTGTTAGGGAAGCTGTAGATTATACTACTACAGCGTTTTAGGTTTTTCAGAAGCAAATCAGCAATGGCAGCCTACTTACAGTATTTCTTTCAATACAGCTTCAACTGGCTCATTCCAACAACTAAACCAAGGCTTAAATTTTCAGGTTTTGGGTTCTAACCCTGCAATGTAATGTCTTGGATGCCGCACACAAAAATGGCCACCTTGCTCTACTGTAAGCCTGAAATTGTAAGATTAAAGACAAAATGGCCACCTATACAACAGCTTCAGTGATGCCAAGGGTATCTTGTGAATTCACTAGGCTTCATTTTTTATATCTTATGACCACTAGTCCAAGACACACAAATGGTTACCATGCAGATTACCACCAGTGTCACTGAATAGAAAGAACATTAGGAGTCAGCATCCTGTGTAATACTGTCTCAGCCCACAAAATGGTGGGTGGCTTTCCCCCCCCTTACCTGATACAATATCAACAAGCTGATCATCTGGATGA